TTCTGTAATGTTAAAGACATTTTGTACCTTATCCATGCTACTTCTTCACTTCTACTGAGCAATTATTGCCACAGAGGTAGCACAGACACCTTAATCCAGGGTTTCCCAACCAAGGTTTCTCGAATCTATAGTGTTCCTCCAGAGGTTGCTAGAGGTTTCCAAGAGCAATGAGCAATTTCCACCTCTCAGTTAAGTTCCATCTGACACTTATCATTTTAGCTATCTATAAGGGGGTAATTCCTCCCAATGACTACATGTGTAAGGAGCATTCTTTCCACTGAGCATCACCCTAATGCATCATGACTTTTTAGCAGGGGTTCCCTGAAACCAGAAAGTTTATTTCAAGGGTTAAAAAGGTTGAGAGAGGATGCCATAATACAACCACGATGGAATGTGGCAAAGCAGAAGTTGATTATCTGTCTGAAGACAAGATGGGAGGTGTGAAGGTTGTGGAACCACCCTGTTATAGTTACATGCAGGGGCGGACTGACCATTTGGAAACTCGGGCACTGCCTGAGGGCCCAGGGACAGTAGAGGGCCCCATGAGATGCCCCTGGTACCTTTTTCATAGGCTTTTTTGAGTTTGGGCAAGGACACAGGGGCCCCATGATCCCCTATTGTCCGGGAGCCCCATGAGTTGTCAGTCTGCCCCTGGTTACATGATCCATCCATGTGTCTGGGAGTTTTCATGAAAGATGGTGTCAAAGGCCCCACCATCTTTGCCCTCAGGGAGTTTGCATGAAAGATGGTGTTAAAGGCCCCACCTTAAAAGGTGGCCATCTATATCAAACTGGAACAACCATTCCTGAACTGTACTGCAAGCATCTCCCGCAGCAGTAGTGGGAGAAGGAGTTGTCATATAGTGGGTAGTACCTGCACCAGGGAAGCCTAAGCTTCCAATATCCACTATAGTCACACAATCTATTTACTTTCCTGGGGAACCTTCAATCAAATGCCACAACCAAATTCTAGCATCTATTTCGGCACCTGCTGGAAAAAGTACTTACTAACATCATGCAGATTACATCCCTGGTGGCGTTCTGATTTAGGAGTTAATCTTACAGGGCAAGAGTACCAATAACTTCATGTACAACCCCACCTCATCCTGCCCAGTGTATTGCCCAGCGGCCTCTTGATTGGAGTTCTTTAGAGCAAATTTTAATCACTGTATCTAGGTCTGCCTTTATTCATCTGCATTACATGGGGAATGGGGAGATTCATATTTTACATTGGAAATATAATATTGTTTGATTCCAGCTCAATTCACACAGAACTTGCTGAAAATGAAAAAAGACTGGCATAGCACCACTGGATTGGCGTAAGGCCAATGTGGTGCCAATATTTAAAAAAGGGGTCAAAATCTTTACCAAGTAATTATAGATCTGTTAGTTTAACTTCTATAGCTGGGAAGATACTGGAGAGTTTAACCACTTGAGCTCCTGATGATTTACCCCCCCTTAATGACCAGGCCTCTTTTTGCTACTCGGCGCTGCACTAATTCAACTGATAATTGCGTGGTCATGCAATGCTGCACCCAAACGAAATATACGTCCTTTTTTTCACACAAATAGAGTTTTCTTTCGGTGTAATTTGATCACCTGTGCGCTTTTTATTTTTCACGCTATAAACAAAAAAAGGCCAAAAATTTTGAAGAAAAACAATATTTTTTACTTTCAGCTATAAAAAATATATAGTTAAACTCAAAGTTGGTTATAAATTTAGGCCAAAATGTATTCTGCTCCATGTTTTTGGTAAAAAAAATCCCAATAAGTGTATATTGATTGCTTTGTGTGGAAGTTATAGCGCCTACAATCTATGGTATAAATACTGCAATTTACGCCATTTTTCTGCTATACAGTGCTGCACTAGTTTAACGGACAATTGTGTGGTCATGCAATACGGTACATAAATGAAATTTACATCCTTTTTTTCCCCACAAATTGAGCTTTCTTTTGGTGGTATTTGATCGCCCCTGTACGGTTTTTATTTTTTGCGCTTTAAAAAAAAAGGAGGAAAAAAAACAATATTTTGGACTTTTTGCTATAAAACATGTCAAGTAAAAAAAAAATGCAAAAATCAAATTTAGTCATAAATTTCTGCCAAAATGCATTCTGCGACATGTCTTTGCTAAGAAAAACCCCAATACGTGTAAATTAATTGGTTTACGTGAAAGTTATAGCATTTACAAATGGCGGGAAAGATACTGGGATTTTTAATTTTTATTTATACTAATAATGGCGCCGATCAGCGACATATGGCGGCAATCAGCGACATATGGCGGCGACCAGCGACTTATGGCGGGACTGCGGCGGACATTTTTGACACTGGGGGGGGAACAGACTTGGGGTCACTGACATCCCCAGTGACACCAATACAGTGATCAGTGAAAAAAAAACACTGAAACTGTACTAATGTCACTGGGGAGGAAAGGGTTAACATTTTTAGAATTTGATGTGTAAGGGGAGTGTTTTACTAGGGGGCGTGGGTGTGTACTGGACAGGGGGAGGGAGGGGGGAGCTGATCGAGGGAGAGAAACTTTTCTCTCCCTCTGCAGCTTGTCGGCGAACTGTCACAGAGCAGGGCTGTGTGTAAACAATGTAGCCCTGCTCTGTGTCAGTGATCACCGCTCATCGCGGGAAAACGGCCGGTAAAAAACGGCCGTGACCCGGCGGCGGAGACCCGCTGCTGACACCACGGAACAGGTAGGGCCCTACCTGTTTTGAAGGCAGCCGTTTTAAAACGTGCTTTTGCCTACGAGCGCCGCCCTGCGCCGTTTATATGCGGTGGCTGGGCGGCAAGTGGTTAATAAAAGGCCACATAGATGGGTTCTTGCTAAAAAAAATATTTTAAGCAACAGACAGCATGGATTCATGAAAGACAGAAGTTGTCAAACAAATCTGATTTCATTTTATGAGGGGGTGAGCAAAACCTTGGACAGAGGGGTGGCGGTGGACGTGGTATACTTGGACAGAGGGATGGCGGTGGACGTAGTATACTTGGATTTTGCAAAAGCCTTTGACACAGTTCCCCACACATGGCTAATGTGTAAGGTAAAGTCTGCGGGTTTGGAAAAATCTGTATGTAAATGGATAGAAAACTGGCTAAAAGATCATATTCAGAGTAGTGGTTAATGATTCATACTCTGAATGGTCTAGGGTCATCAGTGGTGTACCCCAAGGTTCAGTGTAGGGACCCTTACTTTTTAATATATTTATAAACGATATAGGATCTGGGATTAAAAATCCCATTTCAGTCTTTACAGATGACACCAAGCTGTGCAGTGGAATAACGTCCTTACAGGATGTCTTCAACTTACAAGCCGACCTCAATGCACTGTTTAATTGGGCAACCATGTGGCAAATGAGGTTTAATGTTGATAAATGTAAGGTTATACACTTGCGGGCTAAGAATATGCATGCATCATACATACTGGGGGGGTACAACTGGGGGAATCAATGGTGGAAAAGGATCTGGGAGTTCTGGTAGATCACAAGCTTAATAATGGCATGCAATGCTAAGGTGTGGTTTCTAAAGCGAGCAAAATCCTATCTTGTATTAAAAGAGATATAGACTCCAGAGAGATAGATATCATATTACCCCGGTACAAATCATTAGTAAGACCTCATCTGGAATATGCAGTTCAGTTTTGGGCACCAATTCACAAAAAGAACATTGGGGAACTGGAGAAAGTACAGAGAAGGGCAACCAAACTGATAAGAGGCATGGAGGAGCTCAGCTATGAGGAAATATTAGAGGAACTGAATGTATTCTGTCTTGAGAAGAGGAGATTAAGGGGGGATATGATCATCATGTATAAATACATCAGTGATTCATATAGTCAACTCGGTGTAGAGCTATTCACCCTGAGGTCATCATAGAGGACAAGGGGGCACTCTTTATGTCTGGAGGAAAAGAAATGTAATCTCCAAACACGGAAAGGTTTCGTCACAGTGAGAGCTGTGGAAATGTGGAATAGACTCCCTCAAGAGTTGGTTCTGGCCAGCTCAGTGGATTGCTTCAAAAAAGGCCTGGATTCTTTCTTGGATACACAGAATATAACTGGATACTAACATTTTATAGGTAAAGTTGATCCAGGGAATATCCGATTGCCTCTCAGGGGATCAGGAAGGAATTTTTTTCCCTGCAGGAGCAAATTGTTTTTTTTTTGCCTTCCTCTGGATCAACTGTGGGTATAGGATTATAACTTTTTTTTTAATGGTTGAACTGGATGCACTTTTGTCTTTTTTCAGCCAGACTAACTATGTAACATTAATGGTCATAGTCCACTTTCATGGTGATGGTCACTTACGTTCGTGGTCACAGCCCACTTTCATGGTGATGGTCCACCTACATTCATGAACCATCTTACTTTGCTGGTCACTGGGAGAAGAGCTCCCTTATAGACAGGTGAAACCATCACTGGTGTCAATTGTTACTTATCTGAGTGATGAGAGGAAAGGTTCTACTGGTCCCACACCACTGGCTCTGCTGAGAGACTTTGGGGATAGAACTATTTAGGCACTTTTGTTAGATACACAGAAATATAACTGGATACTAACATTTATAGGTAAAGTTCATCCAGGGAATATCCGATTGCCTCTCGGGGGATCAGGAAGGAATTTTTTTTCCAGCAGGAGCAAATTGGATAATGCTTTGCTGGGGGTTTTTTTTGCCTTCCTCTGGATCAACTGTGGGGGTGTAGGATTATAACATTTTTTTTTTTTTTTAATGGTTGAACTGGATGGACTTTTGTCCTTTTTCAGCCAGAATAATTATTTAACTATATGTAACTATGTTGCCAAACTACAAGACCCATGAGGGGTTTGACAGTTACAAGCACGACTCCCAAAGACAGAGGCATAATGGGACTTGTAGTTTCGCAACAGCTGGACACCTGATCTACACTATATTGCCAGAAGTATTGGGACACTGCTCCAAATCATTGGATTCAGGTGTTATCATCTCCATGGCCAAAGGTGTATAAGATCAAGCACCTAGGCATGCAGACTGCTTCTACAAAAATTTTGAATGAATGGGTCGCTCTCAGGAGCTCAGTGAATTCAAGCGTGGTACCGTGATAGGTTGCCACCTGTGCAATAAGTCCATCCGTGACATTTCCTTGCTACTAAATATTCCACGCTCCACTGTTAGTGGTATTATAACAAAGTGGAAGCAACTGGAAACAACAGCAACTCTGCCATGAAGTGGTAGGCCATGTAAAATAAAAGAGCGAGGTCAACGCATGCTGAAGTGCATAGTGCGCAGATGTCGTCAACTGCAGAGTCAATAATTAAAGACATCCAAACATTGTGTGGCCTTCAGATTAGCACAACAATGCGTGTAGAGCACCATAGAATGGGTTTTCATGGCCGAGTAGCTGTATCCAGAGAACAATACTTGCCTGACTGCATTATGCCAAGTGTAAAGTTTTGTTGGAGGGGGGATTATGGTTTGGGGTTATTTTTCAGGGGTTGGGCTTGGCCCCTTAGTTCCAGTGAAGGGATCTATTAAGGTGTCAGCATACCAAGACATTTTGGACAATTTCATGCTCCCAACTTTGTGGGAACAGTTTGAGGATGGCCCCTTCCTATTCCAACACTACTGCGCACCAGTGCACAAAGCAAGGTCCATAAAGACAGGAATGAGCGAGTTTGGAGTGGAGGAACTTGACTGGCCTGCACAGAGTCCTGACCTCAACCCAAGAGAGCACCTTTGGGATGAATTAGAGCAGAGACTGCGAGCCAGACATTCTTGTCTGACATCAGTGCCTGACCTCACAAATGCGCTTCTGAAAGAATGGTCAAAACATTCCCATAGACACACTCCTAAACCTTGTGGGCGTCCTTCCCAGAAGAGTTGAAGCTGTTATAGCTGCAAAGGGGGGGCCAACTCAATATTGAACCCTACGGACTAAGACGATTGGGATGCCAATAAAGTTCATGTTCGTGTAAAGGCAGGCATCCCAATACTTTTGGCATTATATATCTTTATTTATATTATTTATTCCAGTATATATCCTTGATTTGATCCGCAGCTTACAGTCAAAGTCTGACAGAGGTGCTAATGCATTTTGGTCAGTGTGGCCTTACTTATAGCTTGTTTTAAAGCGCTCCTCCCCAGCTGCTTACAAAGGGCTGAGGGCTCTTTGTTTTACCCTCATGATTGACCTATCACTGTCAAGTGAGCGCAAGGTGAACAAGTCAAATCCTCCTACATGGAAATACTTTCCTCAGCCTAAGCAGCTAAACAGATTGCCGGGGAAGCGAAATAAAGGTGAGTTTGTGCTGCTGGGGAGGTATTATATCATACCTATTGCTTTGCTGCATAGGAAAAGAAATTATTTGCTTTAAGTTACATATATGCGATAGCTGTAGGTCTGTATAGAATACTCAGACTACCACAGGGTCTTCTGTTGTATGATGTACATGTAGCACCCTCCTAGTTTGGTTGCTAGTCAGGCTAGGTAAATTTAGTCTTTTTAGCTCTACTATAATCACATGTCTGGCTGATATTGGAAAGAGGCTCTCCAAGGACATTTTTGAGAACCGACTGGTGTGTGAGATCCCAGTGACTGTGTGCTGCTGCCTGTGCTTAGACATGGCCTTCGCTTATGGTGTCCCTGTGTAGTTTAGTCCATTATTTACTGATGCAAGGATTATGCTAGGAAACTTTGAAGAGAAGGTAGTTGTCCTCAAGTTACTACTTAGATGGGTGCAGGGTAAACATGGGATACTCCTGCAACATTAAGTTCAAGTTTTTAATAAAGCATCAAAAAGGATAGCCCTAGACTGACCATTGAGCCAGAAGAGTGACTGAGACTGTGTGCCTGGCTGCTAGTGCACTTACTGGAGAAAGAATTCTTGAACCAGTAAGCAGGCCATTTAGTGGGTGAGTGCAACACACACCTTTTGACCTTTAAATTCCCACTACCCAACCCAACGCAAACAAAGCTCTGCTATACTGGGAGCAGTTTGAAACTTTGTACACGTATATTTTAAAACTGTAAAAGCTGCAATAACATAGACCATGGGCTTTGTGTGCCTTTCAAATTTTGCACCATTTTTTGGACATGAGCACCATTGCTGTAATAATCTTCACTATAATATGATATCTTTTTAATGCAGGTTGAAAAGATGAAGACTTCTTGGATATGTAGCTTAGTAATACTACTCATTTTTACGCTGTGTGGAATTCAGGCATCGTTGGGTACAGATGTTTTGGACAACGCCGCTCCAAATTCTGATCTGCTAATAAGGGAACGTCGAGATGAAGAGCCACAGTATCCAGGTAAATAGTTGTGAAGTATCATTATGTTTTATCTGAGTTTTCAAGTCCAATAATTGTACACTTGCCTGAAATGCAGTGGTGGACCCATATAGCCTTAGACACTCCTTGAATTGTTGCTTTGACGTGGAGTAGGAACGATCAAATCAAAAGAATCATTGATGCACGTTTTTGAGTCACATTTATTTTAAAAGTCTGAATACATTCATATACAGTAAATTGGCCTGAATTGTTATAAACTATGCAGTTTAGGAACAAAGACAATTATAATTTACACAGGATACTCAAAATCACACACAGATCTTGAAGGACAGATTCCTGAAAAGTCTTTGTTACAACAGTATTGGGCCTTATAGTAGGGGTCTCAAATAATGCTGAATAGAGAGGGGACAGCCAGCAAATCTGAGACTCCATACGAGCAGTCAAAGTCCTGAGAAGGAACTTCTGGCATCTAACCCTCGCAAACCTTTCAGTACCTGGAGCTATAGGCAAAGAGTTGTATTCACAATATCCAGGTGGCAGCTCCTGTCCAGCAACCCCTGTAACACTCTTCAATGAAGGTTTCATTCTCCAGCCTAGCTTCTCCTTGTAGCATCTTTCAGGCTTCCAGCATATGGCATCTTCTAAGGATTAGCAGTAGCAGTCTCTCTGGAACACACACAGGCTGCCTTCCAGGAGAAGAGAGTTTTGATCAGATCCTCCCAAATATTTATCGTCTACCCAACTACACCTTCTGGGTCAGCCTCCCAAGGATTGGCTAGGGTCAGATAACTATTCATAATCCAATGAGTGATCCCTCCACATTATTTCTGGGGATAAACCTGATCAAACCTAAAAAGTAAATAGAAGTCCAGCGTATTACAGGAGAGCCATATGCTAATTTTAGCCAGCCCAGGGCAGGGGTGCTATACATTATTAAAAAAGAATAAAAAAAAACACAATTTAGCTGTTTTTTTAAAAACATATTCACACGTCATTACTCGAGGGCAGTCCTAAAAAAAATATCTTTAGATACAAAAACAGCATGGGGTGGGGGGTGCATACCTACCTTATGTGTGGCCTGGGGCCCATTGCAGTGGAAGTACCCTGGCTAGCCTCTAAACATACTTGTTTGGTGGATGTAGGAAGGTCTGACTCCCACTGACCGACTTGTAACATGGCATTTTACTGACCACCAATGTAAGGAGGCCCTTCTCCCACATTACTGTAGGGGGGTGTGTTACTGACCACAAACATAGGGCAACGTTTCTCCCACTGACACCAATGGAAGGGACCTTTTTTTCTCTCAATAGAAATCAAACCCCAATGTAAGAGGCCCCTTTTCCTGCTGACATCAATATAAGGGGTCACTTTACTGACCACCAATCTAAGGGGACATTTCTCCCACTGAAACCAATGTAAGAGGGCCCTTCTTCCTCTGAACACAAATGTATGGGGTCCTTCTCCCACTAAACACCAATGTAAGGGGGGGGGGGGTTTCTCCACTAAACAAAATTGTAAGTGGGACCTTCTCCCAATGAACATCAATGTAAGCAGGAACTTCTCCAACTGACATCAATGTAAGGGCGCCTTCTTCCACTGAACACCAATGCAAAGAGAAACTTTACACCAGGTGAGAGAGCAGTCTTCTTTCACTGACACCAATGAAAGTAAACACTTCTTCTACTGATAGAAATTAGTAGTACTCACAGAGATATTTATTTAAGGGGTACCTTTCCTGACCACCAATATAAAGATGCTCATTATACTCTGAACACTAGCTCATCAAGGAATTCTAAGCTGTCCACTAACGTATGGGTCAATCTTGTGCTGTCCTTGTCACCAATATAAGCATGCAATCATTGCTTTGAACACTAATGTACTGGGGAGTTCTGCACTTACCAACAATACAAAGAAGGATTTTAAACTAAACAGCTGTATTTACAGTGTCAATTCGATCCTAAACTTCAAGGCATTGAAACCAAAGGATTCCACATACTGCTAAAGCTAGCCATAGACATCTAACAATGCTGAGATATTGGAATAAAAATCAAATAAGGGTCACATACCTGGTGGAGGCCAAGTTTTTGAGTGGGCTATTCTTGCATCTCCTGTCCAACGACCGTTGAAGTGGTGACAGGTAACATGAGTACACAGGGTGGCACAAATGCCGCTGTTGCATGAAAGACCAGATCTGTATGACAGTCAGGGGCGTGGGCAAGATGACTATAGACCACTATGCAGGAGCTGGATGCAGAAACACCAGAGTACAAAGGTACCAGAGTAGATGACAGAAGCATAGCCAAGACACAAACCGAAGTTGTGTCTTGGGCAAAGAGGTACCAAAACAGAAGGAATAGAAACAAAGTTGGGGACACTAGAGTCAGTAACATCTGGGCAGCAAGGTACCTAATCAGGAAGCAGAAACACTATGTAGGATACAACCCAAGGAAAAAGCTGAAGATCACTCAGCAATCTCTCCATGTAATGCTCCAGTTTATATAGGGTGTTTGGTTCCAATACCAGACCTGAGTGTGCATGCACACTCATATACACATCACAAGGTTTGCATGCCCTAGGATGCATGCTAATGCACATCCAGCAGTCACCCCATGTAAATGGCCACATGCCATAGTAAGTACATGTGACTACACTGGGTTTTTTTTTTGTGCTGGAACAAACCAGATCTTCCTTACATAGGGTCTTTGCCTGATAAATATGCATAGGCACTATTGTCCTACAAGCATGTCTGCATATGTGCCCAGCAAATACTACATATGTGAAAAATAGACCATCACACACAGCATTTTAAAATGGATATGTTCCTCCCCAAACTATCCACTCCTATGTTAGACAAAGTAAACACTGATATTGCTGCTCCTGAGGTCCTTGCAGCAACAAAAACACTCAAGACACAAAAAACCCTGGACCTGACGTTTTTTTTTTTTTTTTTTTCGGCATTATACTATAAAAAATTTGCCAACTCCGTGGCTCCCCCTCTGACCAACTTTTTTAACCACTTGTGCTCCCATTCAGATCTTCATCCATCATCTACGGCAACTCAAATAGTGATGATCCCGAAACTCGGAAAAGAACCCCAAGACCCACATAAATGTAGACCCATTTCACTTTTAAATGTCAACATCAAAATCTTAGCAAATTCTTGCCACTCGAATTAACTCCTTCTTACATCATCTCCTTCACAAAGATCCAGGGGGTTTTGTCCCCCACTGACAGGCTTCAGACAATACCCACAAGGTTATCCATCTAATACAACAACACAAATCCCCTGGCATGATCCTGAGCCTAGACATACATAAAGCATTTGACTCACTTTCTTGGGAATACATGTAGTATGTGCTTTAAAAATGGTGGTTTCCACCTATCTTTATATCCTGGGTGAAGGCTATCTACCGCAGACCCACTGCTATGGTTCGTTATCTCTCCAGATAATGCACCCCCTTTCTCTGTTCATAGAGGGGGGCTGCCCTCTTTCCTAGCCCTGGAACCCTTACTTCAGCTTAGAAGAATTAATCCAGACATCAAAGGCGTCACGTTTGCTCACCAAACCTTTAATGTTAGTGCATTAATTGACGACCTTCTCTTGATTATGACCCAACCACATACCTCTCTACCTACCCTCTTCTCCATTTTATCTAAATAAAAATTCCAACATTTAGGGTAGTAAACTAGAACAAATTCACAGCCCTTAACATTTCCCTCCCTATGGCGAACGTTAACATACTAAAACTAAATTACAACTTCACCTGGCCCTGTTCATTTAGAATACCTAGATATTAACCTTAGAGACTCTTACTACACCCTCTACAAGGCCAATTATATCTCAACTTTCCGGTCCCTCGAAACCCTACTTACAACCTGGTCACGCCAACCTCTCTTGTGGATGGGCAAAATAAATGAAGCAAAAATGACCATCCTTCCTAAACTTTTATATCTATTCTGTACTCTTCCCTGTTCCAGTCCCTTCTTATACCCTGAAATCTTTTCAGAATCATGTTTTATGCTTTTATTTGGGCCAATAAAAGATCTCGGATCACTAAATATACCACGCTCATACCGGAAACAGGGAGGCTTGGGAGTTCCTAATTTCCTCAAGAACTATGTGGCGGCTCAAATCGCACCCTTAATCTCACTGTACTTAGCACAACAAGCCCCCATATGGGTAACTATAGAAGCACTCTCATGCCACCAGATTTCCCTCTCCTCACTTCTATGGCTCCCCCCGAAATCCAGTACCACATCTATCAGCCCTCTAATGGCCCACTTGTTACGTATATGGGATTCCACAAAATACACTAGTGGCCTACTCTCCTTCCATTTACCGCTCCTCCCTCTCGTGGGCAATCCTCTGTTTCCACCTGGCCTCGAATCCCTTACCACATTCCATTGGTTGATCTCCCACAACTTCAAATGTATTCACTCATTCTTCATGGGCCGCTCTGTTTACATGTAGGCAGAATTAAGGGATAAACATCAAGCCCCCCTATGGAACTTTTCCGATACCTCCAGATCAAACATTGGGTAAACTTGGTCCTTACTGACAAAGACCCGACCACCCAATTATCCTTGTTCGAACACATATGCCACTGGACGCTTCTCTCCCCTAAACTTATCTATCCTGTACTTACAATTAACCAATTTACAGAATCCTAACAACCACTCTTATGTTTCCAGATGGGAAAGAGATCTTAAAGGCACTAAAGATCGTGCATGCTGGTCACAGATATGGTTAACGCTAACCTCATGCTCCATTAATATCCTCACTATGGCATCAGCTTTCAAAACGGTGACAAGATGGTACCTTGTCCCATCCCGCTTAGCATTTCTCTACCCATCCGCCCTTAATATTTGCTTCCGCGGCTGTAACGCACTAGGCGACATTCTACACATATGGTGGATATGCCCTATGCTCTCCAGATTCTGGTCTAAGGTTCTCAAACTACTCCAATCACTACTCACTTGCCCCTTCCCGAGAGACCCCTGGTACACTCTCTTACACCTAAAACCTCCAGGTATATCTGAACACCAATTTTAAACTAGCCATTCACGTACTATCGGCAGCCAAACAAACCATTGCGAAAGCCTGGAAACAGCAGTTTGTATCCTTTACGGAAGTCCACCGCCGTCTAGACTTTTTTTTAAATAAATGAGAAACTGTCTAACATCATCTCAGACACCCATGAGAGACTCCTCAAAACCTGGACTCCATGGATCCAATACGCCCATCCCGAGATTTCAGTGAACAGCTTCACCTCACTATAGCTTGTTTAAACTTTTCAAATTGAATTCAGGTGTTCTGGATGTCCATCTCCTTCAATCTGCTTCTATCTCTTTTGCTCTCCTTTCTTTTTTGATTTCCATTCCTTGGCTCTCCTGCTGGGATGTCGTACAACCCGCGAGATGTCCTGCACATCTCCCAGTCTGCAATACATTAGTATATCTTAAATGCTATACCTTTTGACTAGTGTTGGAGATTGGGCTACAGACAGACTACCATTTCTGTACACTGGCTAACTAAGCAACACAATATTATATGTTCTATTTCTACCTTTTGACAAGTTGTTTAGAATGTTACCTAATCTAACTATGTTCCATTTGTATACGACCGCTCTTGACTATTTTATAGTTGCGATTTTATTATTGTACTATTAAGTGGTTGAAATTGTATTTTGTACTTAAAAATACCAAAAAAACAATAAAAATTATTGAAAGGAAAATGGATATGTTCTCCTGGTGTACAGATATGACATGGACAAATGTAGCACCCAAGGATACACTTAAATAGCCTGATCTGTGTACAAAGCTTTCATAATTTTATGAATGAGGATCATCTACTGAATGTGGGTAACTATAGGCCACAAACATATCAGGAATTCTAGAAAATATTTCAATAAACCATTTAAAACCCCACTGAGTTGCCAGCAGAACATGTACACAGAAAATAGTAGAAAATAGATGTTAATTTCTACTAGACAGCAGTAATTATTTACCCACCATGGTATCGGCATCAAAAATTATATTTTGGATTTGTCTCTAAAGCAAGTACAGTTGCCCGAAGTTGCAAGTCTATGTTATCAGCCCATTCAGTTTTACATTTTTCCATTGCTAGCCACATTGAAGCAAGTCTACAACACTGTCCATGTATTTATTTGTACTTTAAACTTCTCTAGGGCCAATCATTCTAATTTTCGTATTAATGGTGTTTTAGATGACCTCTATGATTCTGGTGAGCAAGATCGCTGGCCAACCCTGGACGAACTATCTAAGTACAAGAGAAGAGTATCTGCCAAAAGAGGAGGAATTTTGAATGGCCCTGCTGGATTGTATGATCTTCTGTCAACAAAACCCAGACCAGCACCAGAGAGGAGGACCATTGACAGTCTTAAAGATGCCTATGTGGCTGAGCTTCTGAAAAGGCATCGCATGCCCCGGAGTCCAGAGTTGACCACAGTGGAGCCAGACATAGATCAACCAATCTCTGACCGAGTCATTGTGAATGAAAGTAAAATGATGACTTATCTGAGTGACCCTATTGTACTTAATCTTTGAGAGATCCTTGCAACATTCATAGAAGACATTTAAAGAAAATCTGTACTGAGACAAAAAGAAAAGCTTCCATTGCTAATCTCCTTCTGAAAATGTCAGTTGCCTTCTGAAAATGTCAGTTGCCAGATGTCTCTGGCTTCATTACTGTTACCAGATCAGAATACACAGGCGGTCAGTGAATGCAGAGTAAAGTCAGATATCCAATCCTCATACTTTTTCTGGGTCAGTGGCTCAGGAAGTATTGTATGGCTCAGCATACAGCCAGGCATCTAGCACTCTCAAAAGGGGAGTTAGCAATGGCAGCTCACATACTTCTCAGTAAAGATTTCTTTAAAAAATATGTTATTGATTCTTAGTGTAGTACCTGTGTTATAGTGTGGTGCCTTTCAGCATTTAATTTCTACAATATTACAGAAAGAACTATGAGAAGCAGTATAACACCCCCCCCCCCCCCCAGCTGGGTATTGCATAAGAGGTTTTTGCATGCGCTTTTGGTATTGGTAGTACCATTAAGTGAAGGTCCCTAAATATCTCATATTCTAGTTGTCATTCTGGAAAACATTCTGATGCTTACTTTAGTTCTTAGAATGGGGAACCCCATCCTACCCCCACCAGACTGAAAATAAAATATTACATTGTCAAAATGGTCTAAGACAGAATAGGGTCCCTGGCAAGGTAGCTGCTTTGGACTGACCCATCCTTTTGATTGTCATTGATAAAGATTGCAATGGCAAAGGGATTCCATTGCATTTTCATTTTCTGTACTGGCATGGCCCCATCAGACACCAACTGGCCACAAGTACTTCCTTCTTTGTGAAGTGAGAGGCAAGTACAAAGTTTTGACTAATGGCACTATGCCTCAGTTTAGAGCTTCTAGTTGGGCAACCTGGACATGCATCAGGCCCTATACTACTGCCTAGGTTGTTTTTAGCCCTGCCCATAGTGTAGTACAGAGTTTTGACCAATGACACTATGCCCTGGTTTACAGCCTCTAGTTGGGCCACCTGGACATGCATTAGGCCCTATACTACTGCATAGGTTGGATCCAGCTCTGCCCACAGTTTAGTACATCTTTTGACCATAGGCATTATGCTCCAGTTTACAGCTTCCATTTGGGTCACCTGGACATGCATTGGGCCCTATACTACTGCCTAGGTTGGATCCAGCTCTGCCCACAGTTTAGTACATCTTTTGACCATAGGCATTATGCTCCAGTTTACAGCTTCCAGTTGGGCCACCTGGACATGCATTGGGCCCTATACTACATCCTAGTTTGGATCTAGCTCTGCCCATAGTTTCGTACAGAGTTTTGACCAATGGCACCATGCCCCAATTTGCAGCTTCTAGTTGGCCACCTGGACATGTATTGGGCCCTATACTACAGCATAGGTTGGATCCAGCTCTGCCCATAGTTTCGACCAATGGCACCATTCCTCTGTTTACAGCTTCTAGTTGGGCCACTTGGACATGCATTGTCCTGGGCATGCATTGTCCCACCTGGGCATAGTTTATGACTGAGTGCAATGCATCACCAAAGAAGGAGGGGGAATGGTGAAGTACTACGCTCTGTCCCATTCTGCTCTACTAGAGGCTTATATATAATAAATATTATAATACATCTATTGTAAAGATTCTTATTAAGAACAAACAGCCTAAATGGGCACTTACTGTAAACTACAGCAGAATAAACAATATCTGGCATCAGAACTGGCCGCAGATATGAGAAGTTTTCCTTCCAGATAAATGTTCCTTCGACAGCAGGCAGCTAGCTGGCATGGGGAACAACCACAGACGGATTTCTGCCAACAGCTGGCTCAGAGACTATCCTGTGTTTATCAGTACTGTAAGTTTAAAACATTCTGACCATAAAGCCAAACTCCTATCAAATATTAAGAAATTAATTCATAAAAATATGAAGGGTCTCTTCGTACCTGTGTGTATGCTAGTGAACTTGTTTTCATGTATTGAGGTGTGCTAAGTTGATCCCAGTTGGCCAGCAGTCACCTGCTTCACCATATGGACACGAGTTTGTCCCCCATTTTGGCCAAAAAAGACTCATCCTATGTCTCTTGGCTATTTAACTGATATTCAACCAGACAAATATGTGGATATTTTTCCTGTATTTTGACCACTTTTCCTTTTGCCACTTTGGCCACCTTTTCTACTTAAGCAGACTGGAACTAGTAAAAAAATTCAGTTGCAGACCCAGGGACATTTTATGGTTGCTGCCCACCAAAATATAAAATATAACCAACTTACTGCCTGTAGCCATCCTTCTTTAAATGACAGAGAGAGGTAACTGGCAGAACAGCACTTTTGCATTCCAACTTGATGTTGTTCTAGTACGTATGAACATTATGATTGGCACTCTTTTCTAAAATATTAGCATTCTACATTTACCACAACTAAAAAAATGGACCAACCCCAAAAACTGTCAGTACCTAAGGTGAATACTACACACTAGAGAGTGGGCGAGTATACAGCGCCTTCCAAACTTCTGGGCGGCCATTCATGCTGCTACTCCAAAGGCAACCATTTTTAAAATAATTCAAAAAGTCCACTCAGTATTGGTAAAGCTCAAACAGAAATGCATCACTTCCTGGACTCTGTTCTCTACTAGCTGTGCAGGCTATCAGAGTTTTGTAGTGAATATTTACTATGGATCCATACATTCCTCAGCCACTTGGTTCAACTAATATTGCACATATTATTAAAGTAATACAAAAAGTACGATATATTATACATGCATACCCACTTAGAAACTATCTCAGTAAAATCCTGAATGCAGGCCAACTTTCCCTCCAAGAGCTTGATAGGGGTAAGGATCAAACCACCTGTCCATGACAGCCCTCAGGCTTGGCAAATGGCCACTTAAGACACCCAAAACTGCATTGCTGGAGAAAGGGAAGAGAGACCCAAGTTACTCTATACCTGGAAATACTTTGTAATCCATTGTATTTTGTTAGGCAAATAGGGCAACGGGGGAAGGAGAGTGGGCAATTCTTTGAACCTTTTACTTTGCCTTGAATGTGCAAACTACGGGGTCACTCCTCCTGGAAACAGACAAGAGATGACTGATACCCAATCCAACTGTGTCAAACTCATGTCTATGGTGAAGAATGCCAGCAAGCTGACCATTAAGTGGTAAAAAGACTTCAACTGGATGGGTTTGAAGTCCTTCTCCATTTCCTATTGTTCCCTTTGAAATATGATGAAGAAAGTGCCTGCTTCCAACTCCTCTTGGAGGTTTTAAAGCAGATTATGCATTAGTAGAATTTTGGTCGAACATTTGTGTGGAAATTTTAAAAACTTGTTCAGCGGTGCATTTGATCTTGTCATCAAGTCAACTAATTTTGATCGAAAGGCCTTACAAATTTCATCCATAACTGCTACTTGAATGGCATCCGAGACATGTTAAGCAGGTTTATTTTGTACATAAAACATGCACATAAAACATGCAAATTTTCCAGAAGATAAAATTTTCAAACAAAATTCTGGCTAGTGTATGGCCAGCTTTACTCACACCACAATCACTGGGGTGAGAAGTTGATAGATATTTCCTTAATGAGACCCTAGATATCACTTGCCAGATATTTTTACCCTCCCCCCCCTCTATTCAAAACTAAACAAGCAAGTTCTGGAGTTACACTTTAAGGATGCATAACAAAAATTAAAAGGTTGAATATACTAGACCAATGGTCTCCAAACTGCAGTCCAGGGGCAGGATGTGGCTCTTGGCGTTCCTTTATCTGGCCCTTGGGGCATGATTCCACCAACTGACACCATTGATGGGGCACTATTCCTCCCATTGACAGCATAAATGGGGCAATGTTGTTCCCATTGATACCAACAATGGGGCACTATTTATTTCATTACAATCAATGATCAGCATTGTTTTGCCCCCTGATGCTAGGACATTTTCTACCCCCCACTGGTCACAGTCCAGCTCTACTAAAGTCTGAAAGACAGTAAACTGGTCCTTCACTTAGAATTTGGAGACCCCTGTACTAGACCACTAAAATATCTGAGTTCAGGTGGGCCCCATCTGATGAACTTTTGCAGAGCCCACTTCCATGGTAATGCCTGTTATAAAAATACATAACTGCTGTGTTCACATTTTGGAGGGGGATTAATGATACTATGTAAAGTTCTTTCCTATAGAACATGAACCAATTTGGGTCTACTTATGAAAAATTCATTGGACATAAGTGACAAGCACTGGCCTGGCTGTGACAAATTCTGACCTTTGTTTGCCTAATAAAGTGATTTCCTATGATTTGTCGGCTCCATCTATTGGCCATAATGTGGTATTTTTCCTGTTATTTCAGAAAATACCACACAGCTGGGCAGATGATTGTCACATTTGTCCTACAAATGTTTTTAGAACTAGACCCCTTAGTGTATGGCTTTGAACTGTTAGATGTAAGATGTAGATGAAATACAAATATGTGCAAAATGTGTATATGAATATTTACTGTCAATAAAATATTATTTGTGTGCATGTACACTTATTTACTTTATTTTATAATTCATTAATCCCAAGTGAAAAAAACAAAACCATTTTTCAGATTGTCACTGACTGCTTATTACTTTGCAAGCCCCATGATACACGTCTATAGCATTATGATTTATTATCACATGATGTGCTATTCATTATAGCTATCCTGTCTGATTGAAGGAGTTGGCTTTCTATTAATATCAAATACAGTGTGTACAGTAGAGTATGTGTCATCGAAGACATTAATGGATTTGAGCCTAGGCCTTCATTGTAAGAACAAGCATGTTCAACAACTGCCGTGCCAACTATTCCAGTCACTCCCATATCACACATAATGACAACTCTGGCACATGCTGAATGAAACATAATACTATGGGAATGCACAAACAGGCATTCCAATCAGCAATACTGAATGCCTGGAGCTTGAATGGGTATGAGATTCATGCAATCCCTTTACAAGTGCAACATGGCATGATGTCATCACATCTTCATTCTAGTCTAGATAAAGAATTTGATATAGATTAGCAAAAGGTATTGTAGTACACTTACTGCATTGACTAGAGCAGCATTTCTCAACCTTTCCTACCACAGAGGAACACTTGAAATAATATTAAGGTCTCATGGGACCTCTACTAATAATTAATACATGCAGTATATCTACACCTCAAAGTACATTTGTGCTATCAGATAGTATTAAATAAAAGATTACATAATGTGGCATATTTAGCGCTCTGTATGAGAAGATAATTTTTAATGAGGAACATAAACTAAAATGAATAAAAAGGACCAGAAAAGAAAATCATAGTGCTTCCTTTACATTAGTGATAAGTAAAGAAATGTCAAGTCTTATGGCCATAGCCCACTGTCATGGTCATGTATCACATACCTGGTGATGGAGGCCAATGGAGAAAGGGGTTCCCTTGCGGCTAAGTTCCAGACTACCCTGAGAGTGGGACAGCGGGAGTCAGGCCCAAAGTTGCACAGGTCGCCTGTAGGAGTGCTGGTTGGTGGTCCACTCAGAATCACAGCTGGTGCACAGAGATAGGTCTGCAAACAGGAGGCGCCTGTGCGTGGTGTGTAAGCCCTTCCGGGATTTAGATGTTTACTGGGTAGTCGGTTCAAGCCAAGGTCATGTACCAGGTGGGAATCAGAGCAGACGTAGTCAGATGGGATAGCCGAGATCATACACAGAGGAGCGAGAGAGAGAGAGAGTATCCGTAAGCCAAGCCGAGGTCAGATCAGGGGTAAAGCAGAGTAGACAGGTCCAGGAGCAAGCTGAGTCGGTAACAGGAAATCACAGGTCAGAATCACAGGAAACGGCACGGGGAACTAGAGATCATCCAGCAACTTGAGGAAGTGATGAGCCTCCCTATAAAGGCCGTCTGGCACCAAACTGAGGCTGATGTGTGCTTCTGTGGCCATGCAGAGTACTGGCAGAAATGCCAGATCTTCCAGAACTGCTGTCGAGGACAGGACCCTGACATCATGGTCCACTTACATTCATGGTCTACTTTCATGGTCACAGTCCGCTTACATTCATGGTAATGGTCCACTTACATTCATGGTCTACTTTCATGGTCATAGTCCACTTACATTCATGGTCATAGCTCACTTTCTTTGTCATGGTCCACTTACATTCATGGTCATATTCCACTTTCATGGTCATGGTCCACTTACATCCATGGTCATATTCCACTTTTTTGGTCATAGTCCACTTACATTCATGGTCATATTCCACTTTCTTAGTCATGGTCCACTTACATTCATGGTCATATTCCACTTTCTTGGTTATGGTCCACTTACGTTCATGGTCATATTCCACTTTCATGGCCGTGGTCCACTTACATTCATGGTCATATTCCACTTTCTTAGGCACGGTCCACTTACAATCATGGTCATATTCCACTTTCTTGGTCATGGTCCACTTTCATGGTCATGGTCCACTTACATTCATTCATGGTCATGGCCATGGTCCACTTACATTCATGGTCATAGTTCATTTTCATGGCCATGGTCCACTTACATTCATGGTCATGGTTTACTTTCATAGTCATGGACCACTTACATTCATGGTCATAGTTTACTTTCATAGCCATGGTCCACTTACATTCATGGTCATAGGCCACTTTCATGGTCATGGTTCATTTACTTTACATCTGGAGAAAAAAAGAAATGTATTTTCCAAACACGGAAAGGTTTCTTCACAGTGAGAGCTGTGAAAATGTGGAATAGACTCCCTCAAGAGTTGGTTCTGGCCAGATCAGTGGATTGCTTTAAAAAAGGCCTGGATTCTTTCTTAGATACACAGAACATAACTGGATACTAACATTTATAGGTAAAGTTGATCCAGGGCATATCCGATTTGCCTCTCGGGGGATCAGGAAGGAATTTTTTTCCCTGCAGGAGCACATTTTTTTTTTGCCTTCTGGGGATCAACTGTGGGTATAGGAATATAACTTTTTTTTTTCTAATGGTTGAACTGGATGGACTTTTCTCTTTTTTCAGCCAGACTAACTATGTAACATTAATGGTCATAGTCCACTTTCATGGTGATGGTCCACTTAAGTTCATGGTCACAGCCCACTTTCATGGTAATGGTCCACCTACATTCATGAACCATCTTACTTTGCTGGTCACTGGGAGAACAGCTCCCTTATAGACAGGTGAAACCATCACTGGTGTCAATTGTTGCTTATCTGAGAGATAAGAGGAAAGGTTCTACTGGTCCCACACCACAAGCTCTGCTGAGAGACTTTGGGGATAGAACTATTTAGGCACGATGAGACAGGAAATCAATCCATCACTGCTCTATGCTCAAGGAACCCCTAGAAACTTCTGGAGGAACCCTGGCATTCTATGAGACCGTGGTTGAGACAGGTTCAGCTAGGATTATTTCACAAAAAACAGAAAGTTACTAAGCAGGTCATGCACCAATAGAATTCTGTTTGAAAAAATTTGTTTTCATAACATTAGTTCAATTTTCTAATAGTGGAGTCAAATTGACGATTGGTTTTGACAATTCTGATGAGGAAATTCGAAGGAGCAGGATGGAAAATATTTCTTGAACAAAATTTTAACAGTGGATGTAGTTTTTATTTGGGAAAAATCATACACATTGTAATGTGTATATGATAGGCTTGAAACCTATTTACCATGTCCAGAATTCCTTTCCAGTAAAAGGTCTGGACAAAATTGTATGGGCTTTCAAATGAAATGTGTTAACTCGATTTCAAGACTGAACAATCTTTTAGAATTTCCATACAATGTTTAAATAAAATTCAGCTGATGTATGGACAGCTATAGATTGTAGACAGGTTTTAACTTCCCTATTTTGGGAGCCCTGCTGCAAAAGAGAGCCAGGTTGTTGGCCCGAAGCTTTTCATTTACAGTTCTACAATACAACCTATGATTGGACAGTAAAAGATCAGAAGGAATTTGATTAATTGATCACTTTTTCTCCTGTATGTCCCCATTGGGGATACTCATAACTCTGTACAGGTGACCACTGTCATCAAGAAAGAGAGGAAATCCAAAATTTTAGAATCGTCATCAGAAAAAGAGGTGTGAGGAAATCCTCTAATGGGTACAAGTCGAAGTTGTGCTGTCCATAAAGCCAATTGAGGTGGCACACATGAAGACACAGTGGGGAGTAGCGCTACTGATGGGCTTCTGCGAACACACAAATGGTAAGGGCGTTCAGCGGGCTGTTCGCCCACCGCACCCCACAATGCACTGCACTCTGACAGTACATTGTGATTGGTCAAAGCAATGCACTCGACCAAAGGTCAGGTGCAATGCTTTGGCCAATCACAGTACAATTTGTGCAGAGCTAGCGGTTGACGTCACTGCTAGCTCTGGCCAATTGACTACATCTGACCCGCAAATATCAGCTAGCGGCAAGTGCTCAGTGGGTACAGACAGGTCAGCGGGCGTCAATTTGGCGAGTCAGCATCTTCATGATGTAGTGATTAACAATGGATTACAACTATGGAACCATTGTTTTGGCCTTTTTTATTAAAATAAAGGACTTTTCAAAAACTGTTGTGTTTTTATTCACACTGCACACCTTTTTGCTACGCTATGTACCCAGTACTCATTCACAAAAAGGGGGCCTGGGATCTGGATTCAGATAAGTCACCCCCCGCAGACACCCACAATCACAGCCCAGGGTTTGGGGAAGAGGAATGACGAAGATTGGTATAGCCGGCACTTGTCTCCCCGAATAATGAATTTTATTGAACGAGTAAAATGTGCATAGAAGAATGGCTTACGCGTTTCGGCAATAAGCCTTAATCATAGCCAGATGGATATGAATAAGGCTTATTGCTGAAACGCGTAAGACATTTTATATGCACATTTTACTCATTCAATAAAGTTTATGATTCGGGAAGATGAGTGCCGGCTATACCAATCTTCATCATTCAGTTGCATATGTGCTGGGAAGACACACAGAGCCAGAGCAACGACATTCCACCTCTGTGGGGATTATGTCTGGGCGTAGCACCTGTTTGTTGTGGGGAAGAGGCCCTTGCCCCCATCAGCATGGTGACAAGGTGCTTTGGGAGGGGGATCCCCCCCATGTTGAGGGCATGTGGCCCGTGTATGGTTCAGGAAGAGGGGGGGGGGGGGGGGTGCTCATGTTTCTATGCATGAAGGGAAAAAGCTTTCAGTATGCAGCTCCCCCCGCAGCCCTTCATACATAAATGAGCCAAATCCGGATTCAGTGATGTGCATGAGAGGAGCTGCTGTCCAAGCTCTCTGCCTCCTCATTGGCTCAGAGACAGCAGCTGAGCAGCTCAATCACAGCCAGTGAGGAGGGAGTGGGGTGTGGCCAACCCCTGTTCTGTGTGTCTTTTGGACACACAGAGCGGGGCTCAGGGGTGAGCACGCACAAGTGCCCCCATAGCAAGCGGCTTGCTATGGGGGCACTTAAAGGTCGGCAGAAGCCCAGAAGGCTAGTGGAAGAGCTGAGTACAGAAGGATCAGGGCTGCTCTGTGTAAAACCCTTGCACAGAGCAGGTAAGTATAACATATTTGTTATTTAAAAAAGATAAGCATTTAGTATCGCTTTAAAGTGGAGCTCCACCCAAAAGGGGAAGTTCTGCTTTAAAGACAGCTCCCCTGCTCCCCATTAAAGGGCAGTGGCACCTTTGGGGGGCAGAGCAGGTACCCGAATTTGACAGGCACCCACTCCTACTTCCAGTCCGATCGCCTAGGCGATCGGAAACAGAAGGTGTCCTCCCTCCCTGTAGTCTTTTGGGACACGTGACAGGTCCCAAAAGACTACAAGACCATTCAGAAAGCGCAGTGCTACTCGTGCATGCGCAGTGGGTACCCGGCTGTGAAGCCGCAAGCTATCACAGCCGGGTGCCTACACTGAAGATGCTGGCCTCCTGGACTACAGGACGGCTGGTGAAACGGGCTGCGGGGGACACACCGCGGGATCGTGGGACAGGTAAGTGGCTGTTTTTAAAAAGTCAGAAGCTACAGTTTGTGTAGCTGCTGACTTTTATTTTTTGACAGGGTGAGTGGAACTCCACTTTAAGGTCACTGACAGAAAGATGGACACCGCATTGCGATCATCCTCAAGGGCCCTGCATCTTGACTTTGCAGCAACATTCATCTGGAGAAATCTCTGTTCATAACGATCTATACCCAGATATATGTGGACACTTCCACCAGGACTCCTATCGGACCCTTTGCTGATAATACCTGTTTGTACGTTGGATGCACGTACTGCCACGAATCTCTTCTACAAAGCCTGTATTATTTCCATACTAGTGTGCATCTATATACTAATGGTTGATGTTATATGCTGGATGCAGTAGTTTCTACAATCTCTAAGATTAGATTTCTGGGGAATCCTTTTAGCTGTAGATATTCTAGAATGCTAGGTTCACACCTATGTAGGTTGCGTTTGTGCGGTTTCTGCATTGCATTTTTGCGCCTCCGTTTTTTTTATGCGTTTTGCGGGTTTTTTTCTTTTTCTTGCTGCTAGGCAGATTTAAAACGCAAAATGCAGCAAGAAGGCACTACATGCTTTTCTGCAGCATTTCCATTGAAGTTTATAGAAACAAAAATGCAACTTTTTGCATTCACAAAAGTCCCTGACCCTTTCCAAAAAACACTCTGGGTGAAAGCACAGAGATGTGAATGTGTCCCATAGGAAATCATGTTAAATGGGCTGTAGTGTGTTTCTGCAGAAAACACTGAGGTGTGAACCTGGGGTAAATCTGTACACTGCAGGTGAATACAGCTGAAGCTTGGTGATCAGTGTCCAGGGAACAAAGGAGCTCTGCTCAGATCTCAGGGTAGATGACAGTCCATACACACAGCAATCAGGGGAGGAAGTGGTGGGTGTCAGAGGTATGCATGCTGCTGAGCTGTCATGCTGTATGTTGCTGTGTAATATCATGCATTATGATGTGGTGACACCATCCCAGTCCTCCCATCAATGAGGAGCCCTCTCCTCTCCTCCTCTCTGATCTCATTTCCTCCAGTCAGAGGCGAGGGCGGCTCCCTATAAGTTCGGCCCAGTGGACTGATCCTCAGACAGTACCCAGGTTAGGAAGGAGATCATCAGGCCATTCCTCCCATCACCAGCATGGACACCTACCAGAAACCTGAGGACAAGGACCTGCAGGCCCTGAGGGATGTGGCCAACCGGCTCAGGATCCACTCCATACGGGCCACCTGTGCCTCCAACTCGGGGTAGGTTCTGAGCATCCCTCAACCTCACGTGGTCCCCCCATCCTCCTGCACAGGCCGGGTGTGTTACACCTACCACGTGCCGGTTTAAATCCCCCCCGGCCACGTGGGCGCTGCCCCCTGCTCAGCAGCATCGCTACAGCCTGTGGTGGCGCCTTTTAGTTGACTTTGACCTTGGTTTTTATAGCTGCTTGTCACCCTTTACTGCCATAGTCAGGCGTGGAAGGGGTTAATGGCAGCTCATTCATAATGTACTCCTGCCATGTGCAGGCCTCAGGCTGGGGAATGGCTGCAGGAGGGGAGAGCTGGTTGCCCGATGGATGGATTCCTGGAAGAGAACCCCCTCTGCCATTCTACGTCACTGGAAGAGATACTAATACATTACATCTTGGGGGGGGGGGGGGGGGTGTACCCGAGGAGAGGACTGATCAATGATTTGAGTGTAGTGTATGCATTGAGAACTGCATGTCTGCAGCTGATCAGAACATAAATGGGGGGGTAAATGATCAGAAGAAATCACTGTTCAATATACTGAATTCATGGTTTTGCAAAATGGGGGGGGGGGGGGGGTGTTCTATGTTAGGGGTCTCCAAACTACAATCCTTGGGCCATGTGTGCTTCCCCCCCCCCCCCCCATAGAATTTATCTGGCCTGCAACAGACATCTGCTTTTATGGAACCCTGCAACAGACTCCTGCTCTTATGGAAGCCCTGATGGGGGGGGGGGGGGGAAGCTGGTGACTTGGACTTTGGGGGGGGGGGGGGGAAGCTGGTGTGGACTTTGGGGGGGGGGAGGGGGGGAGAAGGCTGGTGAGGAGGACTTTGATTGGGGGGGGGAGAAGGCTGGTGAGGACTTTGATTGGGGGAAAATGGGAAGGCTGAATCTTCATGGTTATTTGCAAAATGGAGGACTTTGATTGGGGGGGAGAAAGGCTGGTGAGGACTTTGATTGGCCTTTGGGGGGGAGGAAGGCTGGGATGAGGACTTTGATTGGGGGGGAGAAGGCTGGTGGGACTTTGATTGGGGGGGAGGGAAGGCTGGTGAGGACTTTGATGGGGGGGGGGGAGAAGGCTGGTGGGACTTTGATTGGGGGGGAGAAGGCTGGTGAGGACTTTGATTGGGGGGGGAGAACTGGCTGGTGAGGACTATTTGATTAGGGGGGGGAGAAGGCTGGTGAGGACTTTGATTGGGGGGGAGAAGGGCCATGGTGAGGACTTTGATTGGGGGGGAGAAGGCTGGTGAGGACTTTGATTGGGGGGGGAGAAGGCTGGTGAGGACTTTGGGGGGATTGGGGGGGGGGGGGGAGGCTGGTGATGGACTTTGAGATTGGGGGGGGGGGGGGGAAGCTGGTGAGGACTTTGATTGGGTGGGGGGGGGGGGGGGAAGCTGGTGAGGACTTTGAGGGGGGGGGGGGGGGAAGCTGGTGAGGACTTTGATTGGGGGGGGGGGGGAAAGCTGTGTGAGGGAGGCCAGGATGGGGCCCTGCAAGCCATATCTTGGTGTGTGCTTACAGAAAACTCACAAAAAGTCGGTGTGATCTTTATCATAGACAGACTATCATAAAATACATGTGTTGGTGTTTTAACAATGATGGGAGCAATCTGCAGCAAATTGGGTTTCTCGAAGCAGTCAGCAGTGTAAACTGGAGTGGTATTGCCTGCAGTAACCCAATTTCTGAAGTTGGTCAGCAGTTTCTCTGATGGATTTGACTTCCTTCTATGGCATCATGGAGCAATTGCAGTCAGCGTTTACTGTTGCAGCTGTTTGTTTCATTTATACATTATATAGAAATTGGCTGCTAAATGCATAGCTGTAAGATATCAGATGTGTTGCACTGAGATAGCATGGGTCACCTTACATGCAGTGAATTTTTTTTTTTTTCCGTATAATATTGCGCATGCTGCAAATATAAATTTAAAACAATTATAATTTTTATTAAAAAATATTATACAGGGCTAAGTGTAGATGGCAGCAGTTGGGTAGTTGGCTAATTTTGCAGGAATATTCTAGTTTTAGGTGGAGTCTTGGGTATCTCACTCCACCCCTGCCAGTCCATCATCATCTTTATTGTGATCCAACTATAATAGGCTGCTGAAAGCTGATCCTGTGGTCACATGGATGTGCACAATGGCACGGGAGGACGTGTTACCCTTGAAGGCCTGCCCATTGTCTATAGGGGCCTTTGTGGCAGAATATCAGGTCTGTGACCTTTACAGTCCAAAAACCTAGAAAGCTCTACAGATTAGACTTTGGATTCAGAAAGTTGAAGTTAAACTTTAGCCCAGATCAGCATGCAGAGGACTAGATGGAGAAACATGCTTAGGCTGACTTCAGAACTGGAGGTGTGGTCCATGACAACCAAGCAAGATCAATCCAATATCTTTCCTGTTCTGGTTTTGTAGGTTTTATTGTGTTCTTGTATTGGTTACAAGCAACACTCCTCCTTTTCCCTCCCCCCCCCCCCCGCCCCCTTTTTTTTTTTTTTTTTTTTAATTTTTTTTTTTTTTTAAACCATAAAATATTTCGTGCAGTGCTAAAATGTAAATAAAATGATAAATCTAATCCCAATGCGTATAGGAAAAAATCAATCCATATACAAATGTCACGTAGATAACATTCCAGTCCGTAAGTAAAATAAATAACTTAGCCAAGGCGGCTCGATTTATTCCCAGTTGTGTATAATTCAACAAGATTCGGTGAGGGGCAGGTAACAGATAAAATGCGCACTCACCAGATGTGCAGAGGTATTGCGCAGTATATTAAATGGAGGTCTGCCAGGATCATCCATTTAATATATGGCGCAATACCTTTGCGCATCAGGTGAGTGTGCATTTTATCAGTTTCCTGCCCTTCACCAAATCTTGAATGATATACAACTGGGAATAAGTCACCTTGAGCCTTCGCTATAGTTCACTTTTTTTTTTTTTTTTTTTTTTTTTTTTTGTTTTGGCTTGAGAGAATTTAAAGTTTCCGACCAGGTGAATTGGGGTGCTCATTCACACCTGCAGGCTTGTTATGCTATGCGCGTTGTGCAACGTGTTGTAACAATGTGTTGCAGTGTTTGGAAATGTTCAATAAAGGTTCAAACAAACTCCATGCACAGCAGTGCAGTTGTGACACACTGCAAAGACAAAAAAAAAAGATATAATAATGCAGTATGCAACTCCTTCCAAGATAAATGTCTTGACTCCTGAGAGAGGCCTTACAGAAACATTGGTGCAATAAAGGTATTGTAACATCGTCCATATTTATGGCAGGAATACACGGTAAGAAAATCGACTGGTCACCCGACGACTGATCTTTCGTTCGTCAAAATTATGGCACACATTAACCAATCGAAGAAAATTGTTCGAACAACACGTAGTGTTGACGTCTTCCATACAAGTGGAAGGGAAGCTATGTGTGACCTTGTAGCCACGCCCTTCCACTCAGAACGAGTGATTGGACATAAATCCTTGGAATTGGATTTATGGATCCTTGGGCATGAACATCTGGGTCATCTTCTGTTTCCACTCATGTGTGATAGTTTATTGTGTATTTTTTTTTTTTTTTGTGGTTTTTTTTTTTTGTGTTTTTTTTTTTTTTCTTCCCCAGACAACCATCAAACCACCGCACAGAAAATCGGGTGTTCGCATGCGAAATGACAATTTTACTGTTCATGCGACAACCGGAATTTTTGCTCACAATATCGTAATTGGTTAGAGCAACATCCTGCTCATTAACAGAGGAATTCATTTGATCAACTAAATTTTTTTTGTACGATTTTCTTACTGTGCATTCCTGGCTTTAGAAGCCCTTTGAATGTCCTCTTATACCTATTGCTATACATAATATGTAGATTGGAATGGAGAGTTTTGAATTAGAACCCTGACGCCATTTGGTACATGGTGTTTGTATACTTAATTGTAAAGGGACCTCTGTCTTCGGTAGCATGTCTTCAAATAAACCTGTAGCATGTCCACCATCCTTTTTCCTCTAATTCCTGGCTGCAGTTGGACCATCCTGTCTAGCATTACATATACTGAACTTTCTATGTGGCCCATTTGCCGATTGCTGAGGCCCACTATACCGTGTACTTTGTCACCACTCAATAAGAACCTCAATCAGGTTTTCTTACAATTTTGGGCTCGAAGGAGGAGATGTCTCCTCGTTTTTTTTGGCTAGGTATTTCCAGGGCCAGATCTGGCCTGTTTAATGTGGGGGTGCTGCAAAAAAATTTAAAGGGGCAGAGGACTGTGGGCGGGGTGGGACGGCTGACTGTGGGCAGGGTGGACAGGGGCACAGCTCCTTCTCCCATCCCTGCACTGCACGTAGCACAGACAGCGTAGTTCCTCCTCCCCACACAACGCATACCTGAGATCACTATAGTGTCAGTCAAGGATAGTATAGTGTTGGGCTAGGGCAGTAAAATATCAGATTAGGGTGGTAAGGTGTCAGATTGGGGGCAGTATGTCAGGTTAGGGGTGGTGGCATTGGATGGGGCGGAGGACGGGGCGGAGGAGGACAGGGGTCGCGTCTGGCGGGGCGGAGGACAGGGGTCGCGTCTGGCGGGGCGGAGGACAGGGGTCGCGTCACTGCTGGCGGGGCGGAGGACAGGGGTCGCGTCTGGCGGGGCGGAGGACAGGGGTCGCGTCTGGCGGGGCGGGAGGACTGCTGGGGGTCGCGTCTGGCGGGGCGGAGGACAGGGGTCACAGCTCCTTTTCCCATCACTGCACGTAGCAGACAGTGTAGCTCCTCCTCCCCACACAACACATACCTGAGATCAGTATGGTGTCCGTCAAGGATAGTATAGTGTTAGGGGGGTGGCTTTGGAGGGGGCACAACTAAAATCTGGGGGTGCATACCCACCCCAGCACCCCCTAAGATCCAGCCATGAGTATGTAAGGATGCACCCATACTAAGTTTAGAGCCAGAAATGCACTTTTGCAGCTAATGTGCCTTTCCCCGTTTTTCCAAGTCACACAGGACATTGCATAGTTGTGAATGGCCCCATATTCCTTAATG